CAACAGCCGCGCGTCGCCTTGCCACTCTGCAAGCTGCCGCCGCAAAGACTTCCTGGGCGGGCGAGGAGTTTGAGGGCATTCTGCTGGAATCACTTCATGTCATTGAGATCGTTGAAGTGTAAAACTGGCAACGCCCAGTGAGCTCGCGGGGTGATAAGGACGTGTTGAATCCCAAACAGTTGTAAGTCCCCTTTTCCCCTCAACAGCAGCCCCAGAAAGGGCCAGATGGCCAAGTCAGCTGTCCCCACTGTTGGCGAGCATTCTCGAGTTCAGCCCAATCAGCACTCAAACAAGCTGCTGTATCATGCAAAGGGGCGAGAAAAAACACACACACACACACACAACACACAAACACACACAACACACACACACACAGCACACACAGACACACAACACACACACACACACACAACAGCACACACACACAACACACACACACAACACACACACACAGCACACACACACACAGAATACACAGCACACACACACACACAGAACACACACACACACACAGACACACAGACGCACAGACGCACAGACACACAGACACACAGACACACAGACACACAGACACACAGACACACAGACACACACAAACACACCACAAGCTCATTGCAGCAGCTTGACTTTCGAGTTCAGGCAACCCGAATTCAATTCGCAGTGCTCAAGCTTCATCAAGAAGGTCGGGCACGACTTCATAAAATAGGCATCAAACGCTTTGCATTTTGAGATGCTGGAGCTGCATGCACCATGCGCGGTCCAAGCATCAACTCGATCTCCTGCTCGGAAAGGATGCGCTCATGAACCTGGCCCACCAAAACAGTGCGCCATGCCCAGTTATTGACCCCACGGGCAGGCCGAGCATTCGTCAAAACCCAAGCTCCGAGACAGGCGACTCCAAGAAGTGCAGCCGCATGCAAGGCCAACTTCAGGGCGCCTAGAAAGGCTTCAAGCACCTTCCGAAGAACAAGTTGGTCTATGCACTCCTCCTCCTTTTCCTCCTCCAACCCGCGTGGAACCTATGCACCTAAAACAAATGGCATCAATTACATAAACCGCTTGTCGACTTTGCCGTTTGACAACAGCAACCACTCCAACATCTCCATCTGAACATGTCTTCCCAAAGATTGCAGCTGGCCTCGGCCAGTTGCAAAACGAGCTCCTGGCATGCTGAATAAACTTTGAAAAGGGGAGATTCGCTTGCAGCAACCCACATAGCCCCTCGTGCGACGTGCGCTTGTCAACCCCCATGCAGCACGACCCACGGCTCGAGGCACACATGGCGCGAAACACGCCGCAGCGAGTTTGCGCATTACGTGGAGGCTGAATGAAAGCCCGCGTGCCTTCCACCCAGTATCCAACTGAACGGACTCCTCTTCAGAATGCTTCTCACCGAGTACTTCCCGAAAACAGTTGCGGAGAATCCTTTTCATGGCTGGCACTGGTGGGGTTTGCCGCCACTACAAAGATTCGTGTGGTCGCTTCATTGCGGACATGCCAGCCCCAAAGCCGCCCATTCTGGGCAAAGCATTTTCTTTGGTGTGGAAAATAAGGCATCCTCACACTCCTTGCTTAAGCAGAAGTGGTGGCGCAGTCGGCTTGCACGCCCGAGGCCCTACAATCTTACAAGCAATTATGCACGTCAATAAAGAAGAGTTTTCCGCTTTCAGCTCCTTGAAGGAGCAATCCGGCGCTCTGGCTCCTGCCAAGATGCAGAGACACACCAAGTTTGTGCAAATATAATGTAGGCCTACATGCGGGGTGGAGCCGACTGCCAACACATCCATCTTGAAGATTGACCTATGCCGCTCACTGTCCCAACATGTGGGCTAGTGTCGCCTACTGATCGCATAGCTTCACACAAGATGTTGAACCCCAACGAGTCCATCCGTTCCAGGCTTTTACTACAAAAACTATATCACACAAGTGTTGACAGAGGTCACAATTCTCCAAATCCAAATGGCCATGATTTTTTTGAGGGTCTGTAACGCGCGCCGCGAGTCTTGTTGCGGAGGCCCTTGTTACGCAGCTCTGCAACGGGAATCATTTCTTGAAAAGGAGTATCAGTAGCACAATGTAGCGCAGAACATCGAAGAGCAGCAGCTCCTGCTCGAAAGTCGCGCAGTACAAGCGCAGCACGCAAAGCACGCCTCCTAGCTTGAAATTTGCAACTGCCGACACAGAGCCAAGCGATGGCAACAAGGGGGGTCGCTGGCCCAGGCTGGGGTTGGGTCTGCAACGAGGTATGTAACGGCTAGGCAACGAGGTCTGTAACGAGGAAAAGAAAAAGCGCAGTACGCAAAGCGCGCCTCCACAGCTCCACCTTGATTGCAGCTATTCAATGCAAGCCAAGCTGCGGCAAAAAGGGGGGTCACTGGCCCGGGCTGGGGTTGGGTCTGTAGGGAGGTATGTAACGGCTTAACGAGGTCTGTAACGAGGCAAAGCGCAGTACGCAAAGCGCGCCTCCGCAGCTCCACCTTGATTGCAGCTATTCAACGCAAGCCAAGCTGCGGCAAAAAGGGGGGTCGCTGGCCCGGGCTGGGGTTGGGTCTGTAACGAGGTGTGTAACGGCTACGTAACGAGGTCTGTAACGAGGTCTGTAACGAGGTCTGTAACGAGGCAAAGCGCAGTACGCAAAGCGCGCCTCCGCATACAGCTTGATTGCAGCTAAAGCTGCGGCAACAAGAGGGGTCATTGGCCCGGTTTGTTCATCTGAGGTGTGTAACGAGGGTGCGTGCGAGGGGTGTGGAACGAGCCAGCGGGTCTTGTTGCAGAGGTCTGTAACGAGGTCTGCAACGAATGTCCGCCGCGGCTCTGTTACAGACCCCTCAAAAAATCACTGCCAAATGTGACGTGCAGGATTTTGCTTGGGCAATGCTGAGAATGATGAGGTTCGCAGGGGAACAAACTACCAGCAGTTAGTCCACGCAAGCGCGCCAGTAAACGGGAATGCGCATGCTTCTAGCATACTTTCGCTGTCTTCGCCTAAAAAGGAAACATCATTCTCTCACCTTTCAAACATGTTTGTGCCCTCGTCAGCTGGTACCCAAGAAGTCCACATCTTCATAGTGGGCATGGGGTGAGGGGTGAATGCGGGGTGCTGATACGAGCCGCTCTGGATGTCCCGCTCCTTCCATGTCGCGCTGGAAGACCGCCGGCACCCGCGTGCGCGCACTTCGAGGTGGAAATGGCAAATGGGGAAGCGCAACGGCTGAACACAAGTTGGGGCATGAAGCACGGTCAAACCAGCAACAAGATTTTGTCCATGCTACTTGCCAGGGGCAAATTGGTTGAGTCTTCAGTAAGCCTTCCTGTCAAAGAAATGTGGAAGACCGCACTCTAGCTCTCGATCACTTGCCCGAGCAAGGGTTGGATCCCGCCTTTGCAGCAATGTGTAGGCTACCAAAATCGATGCAGGGCAATGTTTGCGCTGTCCCATTTGCCACAAAACCAATAGTAACTTGATGAATGTCGATGCGTGGCAGTGTCCTTTGAACGCCTAGCAAATGCACTCAACAGCAACAGCAACAATCGGCAACAACAGGAGCAGCAACAGGAGCAGCAGTAGCAGAGGCAGCAAAGGCTGCATGAAGCACCCTTCCAAACAGCAAAATAGCCAGATTCTCAATTTCCAAGGTGCTTCATGTTATGCCAGCATTCTCACCCTGCCCACGATACCTTTCGCTCTAGTGGACACATGTTGACCCCTCGGCATCCACGTCCGAAGGGGGGAAACAGCCGCCTCACACCAAAGAGCTGCAACCCCACTGGCCATTAAACAAACCCGGGGCGCAAAGCCAAGAAGCGCCGCTCGGACCTAGGGCTGCCTATTGGCTTTCATTTAGCAGGGTTCATTTAGGCTTGGGTCGGATTAAGGTTGGCTTCGGGTCGTTTAGGTCGGTTTGGGGCTGATTTGGGCTGGGTGTGATTGTGTGAGTTTTACGCTGGTTTGGGCTTGGCAACGTCCCTGAAGCAACCCCAGCCGCACACTTAGCACAAACAAATCAGCCCGCAGCCAACCCAAAATCAACCCAAAGCCAACCTTAAGCCTAAATGAACCCCGCACAAACCCAAGACCCACCCCCACTAACTAAGATCTCAGCAAGCCCAACACTCATCCAAAATCAGCCGGGCAACTCTCAACTGCCCTAGGTCAGCGACAACCAACCTGACCCACAGCCTGGCCAACCAGGCCACCAGAGTATACCCCCAACCTAAGAGTGAAGCAAGGGTTCCAAGCCAACCCTTTTAGAGGCGCATGAGAGCAGGTCTTGTTGTGAGCCGAGCCGGGCTAGTAAAAAGCCAGGGCTAGTTTGAAAAAGAGCTCCTCAACCCTCAGAGTCCCACAACACCAACAAGGGCCAACGAGTTCGCAAAAGGACCATGACGCTTGGTCTTGATCAAACAAGGCTTTCTGGGTCAACATGATGGGCATGTCCAAGCCCAGTAGAGCCGTATGAAGCTACGAAGCAAGGCAGTCTCCAGGAAGGAAAAGGCTCCTTTCGCACACACACACACACTCCTGGATTATTTGGTCCCCATTTAAAGGCAAAGAACATCAGCAAGCGGACCTCTTGCGACTGCCCCCCTGCCTTCATCAGCAGATCTGGCTCCTCAACCCAAAGAGCTTGGTCAACCCGGCTGGTGGCCGCCCGTGCAAGGCTTTGAGCGCACAAACCAGTGAAACCGCAGGCCGCGCAAGCCACGGCCTATCAGGTGAACAGCTTCGTTGGGGAACCTGGGGTCCAGGAAATGTGTAGCTTGCGTGGTGGCAAACTCTCCGGTTGTTCTGGCTCTGTGGCCTAAGTCCAGCCCGCTCGAAATCCGAGGGGGCCTAATCACAATCCGTAATCCGCGTCATCCTTGTTCTGGTTTCTTCTTAATCCGTACTCTGCGCTGCAACCTGTGGGTCGACACCATATGTTGGAGCATGGGCAAACCGCACAATCTAATCCGTCTGATGGGTTTATGCGGCACACGCACGGTCGCAAGCTTTGTGCTGCCAATCTTTTTCTCTTGACTTCATCTGTCGCAGCTTGCTGCTCGGAGCAAAGAGCAAAGGGCTGAGATAGAAAACGGGGGAGTGCGACGGACAGGACTGTACACAGTCCATCGCACTGCCTGCAAGCGCTGAATCAAGCAAGCTTGGCATGCTCAATTCTCAGCACGCCGGGAGGCCACACCCACAAACGATTCAAGCCTGCAGCGTAGGGCATCCTGCCATTCGACGGTCTGCGCCTCGACGTTGCGGCCAACTTCAAGCGTCCGTCACGCTATTCAAGGCCCTGGTCGCAGCCTCGCTGACAAATTCCACGGGATCATCCAGCGCAGATGCCAGCGCCTCCTTAGTAAAATGAGCCTGTGAAGCCTCCGTCCACGAAACAAACTGGCGTGACGCTCCACCTTGCTTCAAATGGGCAAAGCCTTGTCAAACGGCAAGGTAGGCGATGCTTTTCTCAACTTGGGTCTGGCTGACTTGCCTGCCCAGCCTGCTCAAGTACCCTTAGTGCTTCGCCAGAATCAACTTAGGCTAAAGCTGCAAAAAATCTACACCATTCCCTTCACAGGAACACTTACGATACCTTACGATGTTTGTTTAAAACTCCTCTGCAGGGGTTTATGAACATGCCACCCCAAATGAGGTGCAGCGTCAAAGACAAAGAAGCAGGCTGTTCTTGAGTTCGACTGGCCCGGGCACACCGCAATATTGTCAAGAGGGAAAATTCTGTGCGAAGTGGGTGTTTCAGTCAGGAGCTGCGTAGCATGAACGTGGAGGAGATGAAGTGTCGTCGCGCAGATTTGCGAGCAGTCCAGTCTGTTGAGCGTTGACCGTTGACTGCTGTGCATGGTCGCTTTTGATTGCACAATGTGGATGGGTGGAGGCCATACATGCAATTGGGGGGACTCTAAACCCCAAATGGTTTGCCCATTGAAGGATACCCTCAGAATAACCCCACGCCCATTTGGCATCCCTGGCCCCCGGGTGTCCGCGCGAAGGCCATCTTTGCGTGCTCGCCCCGCGCGTCCCCCAGCAGGCCCACCGCAGCCAGGCGCAGCGTGGGGTCCTCAAATGCGCCGAAGTCGTGGGACGTTCCCAGGACCCGATTTTTTGACTGGAAGTGAGTTGCCCAATTTTGACTGGACATGAGTTGATGTTGCCCCTTGCCAAGGGAAAAGTTGAAGAGGTCACTATGACTTGAACCCGAATCCAGTCCTCGCTCTCCAGAAGGTCCACCAAGTAAACGCAGAGCTCACGGTCAATTTCCTGCTGCCCCATGGCCTGAACGGAGGTAGTGTCGGGGCATGGGGAACGTGAAAATGGCATCGAGAGCTGTCCAGGGCTCCCATCGGGTCCCAGTTCGTTCGGGTTCCCTGAGGTGCCACCTGTCCAGCGATCCGACCGCACAGGACTCCAAGAAGATTCCAAAGCGGACGCATTCCACCTTTGTTGAGCTATCGTAGTGAGCGCGTTGCGTTTGGACGGTGTCTTACTTGGCTCCAGCTCCGATCCCTGGCCTTGGCCGCGGCGGCTCTCAGAAAGCCCGGCGCCCCCTCGTCCTGCAACACCTGCAGGAGCTCTGCTCGGTAAGGCCGACCTCCGGCCGCCAAAACGTGGCAGCACGCAGACCTCCGGCGCCGGGCACTCATGTTTTGCTGAAATTCCCCATGAAACCTGGCGCATTGGCCACATTGCAAAGTGGCTCCAATTGGCGAAAGCTTCTAACCCTGCGTGCTTTGTATTCTGGAGCTCGGCGCCTTACAGGATGTAGCTTTCTTTCTCCAAGAAAGGAACATCCACATCCTTGCCAGGGCAAGTGCGTTGGGCAAAACTGGACTGCTGGAAGCGACCCTGGCGGCAGCTGCAAGGCAACAACGGCTCACATGCAAACGCTGACAAAGCCACCGCCCATAACAGACATACCGCACCAAATTGATTTTCACCAGCTGCATTCGTCGCCCCTCGTCCTTTCCCAAGCAGTCAACATCAATTTGTGAAAAAGCACCCAGTCCCAGGCCATAGGTAGCACTGCTACTGTGGCCCGCTGGGCATAGCCGAGGCACCGAATCATGTGGTCCTCCTCCTCCCTCATGGCCTCTGCGGCTGCTCGGCACCCGCTGGCACCCATGGCGCGCAAAGCATCGGCGGCCATCATGCAGCACCTGAGGCAGATTCTACCGCTTGACTGCCCTGATGGACAAAAAGGGCCGAGTCTGGCGCCAAGCTTTGCCGTGGTCCATTTCTCTGGTGCCCCCTAGAGACTAAAGAACTCATTCAAGCAGGGTTGCCCTATCCTACCAGGAGGCGTGGAAAGCCCACCCATGGTCATGTCTGCTTCCATTGCGCGGCACTCGGCACGCTTTTCGGGGAAGCACTTACGGCTCCTTCCCCCCATGCACCTGCAAGCTTGTTGGCACCTTCGTAGTTCGAGGGTGTCTTGGACTGCTTCCGAGAGGTTCTTTCAGGGGGTAGGGGGAGCCAAAGTTCACGTCCCTTCCCCTCAGGCGAAAGGAGCGCTCGGAGTCGTGCAAGAGCCGCGCAAGCCGCGGCACCGCCCGCGGCGCGGCCGCACAGGCCTCGCCCAATTGCTCCAGGGCCTTGCAGGCAGCCATGCGGCCTTTGGCCTCGCATGCCAAGGTGTCAACGTCTGCAAGGCGGCTTTGTTGATTTGGCTGTGGGTCAAACATATGTACCCAAAATGGAATCCTGGTAAATGAAAACATGGACTAACACCTGTGGTCCGGGAGGGTGACAAATGCATCTCTTAGCCTGAGGGCCAGCACAGTCTCGCGAAGTGAGAGCACAAGAACATGTGGGGTACAGCATCTCACAGGCCCTCATCACATGACGTTGGGGCTGATGAATGCCCAGGAAAGTCGACGATTCACTGGAACCTTGTAAAGAGTGATGTCACCCACCTCATCCGAACCAGACTGGGCAGCGTGGTGTGGAATGCCACAGGCGCCGGCTGTCTGTTCCCTACGTTTTGCCCACGCCAGGGCAATCTGTTCTTTGACCTGCCGCGCCATCGAACGCACCTCAACAGGCCTCGGGCTTGTCTTGGCCATGACCCGGCATGTTCTTGCTGACCTCTTGATGGCAGATCTTGAGATCCGTGGCAAGGTTCTATAGCCGGTGAAACGCATGAGGCCGACGCCTCCTGACAAGCTCCCGGTTCATCAACCATCCATGCATTCTACATTCTAAACTTGTGCGTGCAACCTTTTGAGTTCAAAACGGACCTGCAAGTTTCATACGCCCGCAACAGCTTTCAACACCAATAGGTGGCACGCTACCCCACGCCCCCAAGATGCCCTCCGCATGCTGCTGGTGCCTCAGGATCTCTAAGGCAGCCAGCAACGGACGCTGCAGCGACAGACCTGATCTGGTTCTCAGCCCAGTGACCCTCGTAGGAAAAGGGAACCCCTTTTTAGGTGCCTGTTGCCCGCAGCACTGCAAAAAGGTTTCGGATGCTCAGCCCCTGCAAAAAGGGGAGCCACGAGGTCACAACCGATCTCTTGGGGTCCCCCACTTTGAGAGAGATGCCGTTGTGATGCTTTCGTCCCCTTGTGGAGAATAGATACCCATCCTGAGACCTACACCCTGAACTGCATGCGATGCCACGCGCCCTCACGTGGCAACAATTTGAGCAGGAGTGCAAGACAATGAGGGTGAGACTGGCCAAATGTGTCCAAAAGCCAAAGCTGCCAGTGTTAGCGTGATTTTCAGCAGCGATCCTGGCTGTTTGTTCGGCATATCATCGGTAAAAAACCCAACCTCTCTGGGGTGACTCATAGCTCCCGATGGGTGGAAAGCCTCGACACTCATCTTGCACCGCCGAGGTGCGCGACTCTGGGCCCCAGCTCCCCCAACATCCGCAGCGCCCTGAGCCGCGTCTTCAGGGCCTTCGGCCGACGGCCGCGGACCTGCCCCCTTTCAATTGCTTGCATGTCCCATCGTAGGAAAAAATATGCCTCCCCCTGGTTCGATACACAAATTGACACGTTGTAGGGTTTTTTCCTCCACAATTGCGTTCGAGCATTTTTTCGGATTCGAGCAGAAATCAAGTTTGGTATTTCTCATATTCTTTCACAGGGGGCGAGCTTGGGAAGAGCCATCACCGAAACGAGCGCAACAAAAGTGCAAAACGAGCACAAATCGGCTCACAAAAGTGCAAACGAGCGAAAATCCCAAACATGGTACAGGGAATGGGCTCCGACGCATGATTGCTGACAACTCGAGCGATGTTTGTTGAATCATACATTTATTTTAGAACAGGTTGTCACGAGCAGAAATATTTCGAGCAACAATTAATGTATCAATGGAGGCTGCAGGCCTTCCGAGGCCTAAAGGAACGCTCAGACCAAAACCTGTAGGGTCCTCATGGAAAAACCGCCTCCGGCTCCTCCGGCAACAGCAGGGCACAGGGCGCCCCCCGAAGCAGCAGCCACTCCTCAAACCGACGCCTCCCCTCGTCCCCTCCCTCTAAAGTCTCTACACAAACAATGGACTGGACATCTGTTAATGATTCATAGAAGCAATTTGAACTATGGCCTTTCGCACCACATTGTGTTTCATATGCGCTCTCTGAAGGGCTCTGCAGACAGGGCTAGTCCAGGCACAGCTCGAAACATGCAATGGCTCACGACTTGCCAGACCTGGTTGGAAGGCCCGCTGCATAATTGGAAAACAATGCTGGAATTACATAAGCCTTTCGCAACAATTCCGGGTCTCGAGGGCCATGGCTTCGCGAAAAAGCACCCTCTCTGTGGCACCAAGGGCATCAAACCCCTGGAGCAAAATACATCTCCGAGATCGGGTACGGCTACGGAATGAACAGCCCCGCTTGACAATCACAATGGAAGAGGGAGGGTTTGCCTTCCACCCCTTGTTTTGGACAAACGCGGGAGCAGTGCAAAAACCCTTTCTGAGTCGGAGACCCTTGAGTGTCCGGCAGGCAGCTCTTTGGGGGTGGAAATCCGAAGTCGTCCCGGGAAGCACGCTGTGATCTGTGGCATCAACTCAAACAAACTCAATGCACTGCGTGGCGTGGAGGTTTCCACAAGGCAGGACTCTACCTTGGACTCGCCGCTTTTTCGGGGTGAGAAAACACATCGGCTCGCTCTTGCTCTTGATTCGCCCATGCACTTCCCATGCTGAATGTAGCTTGCAACTCAAATTGTCAAAAGCACGTTGCCAAAAAATGTGTTAATAACAAACTCCTTGGCACACCCTAGGTCTTTGGCTGGATCCCCTTAAAGGAGGCCTTCTCTACCATGCGAACCTTGGAACCTCCATCCGCGAATCTCCGTCCCAGGCGCCACTGCCTCCTTCGCTGCTGGCGACTTCCAGGCCTTCGTCGGCTCAGCGGAGTCCGCCCAAAGCTGCGCCAGGACATTCGCCAAGAACTCGCCGTCCGGCTCCTTGACCCGTGAGTCCAGCACATGCTGGAGAGGGGTGCGGGGGGGGGGGGGGGTACCATGAGCCCAGTGAAAGTTGCCTACTCTGAACACACACGCACGTTTAGCAAACGTGCACACACACACACACACACCAATCCAATACGATGCAATCAAATCAATTCAAATCAAATCAAACCTCATCAAACCAATCAAACCATAACCACAAAAACTAATTGGTCAACTAACCACATTGGAACTACACAAATGCTTCATTGCTTGACCAACAGCAGACTCAAAACAAGTTAAGTGAAACAAACGTGATTTATTTCATTCAACCACTCCTTCCTTCCTTTCTTCCTTACTTTGTTTGTTCGTTTGTGTTTGTTCGTTAATTCATTCGTTTGCCCGTTCGCTTGTTCACTCACTCACTCACGCACGCACGCACGCACTCACTCCCTCCCTCCCTCCCTCACTCACTCACGCACTCACTCACTCACGCACTCACTCACTCACTGCTTCCCTCCCTCCCTCCCTCCGTCACTCACTCACTCACTCGCTCGCTCACTCATTCATTCCCTCAGTTCATTCATCCTTTCCATTCCATTCCATTCCATTCATTTCAGTTCAGCTCAGTTCAGGTAATGTCCTTCCACTTCATGTCATTCATGTCATTCATGTCATGCATGTCATTCATGTCATTTGTGTCATTCATTCTGTTTACTTCATTATGTCATTTGTTTGTTTGTTTGTTCATTCATTCATTCATTCATTCATTCATTCATTCATTCATTCATTCATTCATTCATTCATTCATTCATTCGATCAACCAATCAACCAATCAACCAATCAACCAACCAATCAATCAATCAATCAATCAATCAATCAATCAACCAACCAATCAAACAATCAATCGAGCAAATCATTCCCTCATGCGTTCATTGATCCAATATGTTGATCGATGGAGCGATCGAGATCCACCGATTGATCGATGCAACAACTCAAGTGGAAGCCAGCAAGGACCGCTAAAACAAACAAGACAAACCTCAAGCTCAAGTCCAAAGCACCAAATAAACAAACACCAAACAACAATTTAGCAGACATCATACACTCCAAGCCATATCAAACATTCCAGCATAACAGCAAAACTGGTCCTCTTTGGCTGCTTGAATCCCTGCTCACGCCCACGCCTGGACGTGCAAACATGCGGAATTACCAAAGGAGTTGCCCGCAAATACTGCACCGAGCCGATTCACCAATCGGTGCTGAGTACAGCTCATCTTCACCCTACGGGCAAAGCAGCACACGGCTGCGCTCCAAATGGGTTTTCCTATTGGTGTCCCTGAAAGTTACCAAGATCAATAGAAACTATACAAAGAGCCTCAAAGAACGGCGAGCCTCAAAGAACCAAGGCACATAACAAGCGATGGCCTCTCGGAACTGCAAGCTCTCGGGCTGCATGGCATAGACCGCCGGCATATTGCCGGCCCTCAGCGCCGTTGCAAGGACCTCACGCGTCGCTGCATCGGCTGTTGGCTTCCCAAAACAAAAAATGCAAAAATAAAACTAGAACAAATATCACACACGCACACAAAACGAAAGAGCGCCTCGAATTCAAAGCGCGTTTGCTTCCATCCCATCCTTAGCAGCCCTTACACCAGAAATAACATCAACATATCTTGGCACTTCTTTGAACAAAGTTACACTCCGCACTCCCACCCCTGCAACACCGTAAAGTTACATCCTAAACATGTGCAGGTCTTCTCAGTGGGTGCAGTGGGCTTGATTGTGCTGGCCCAACTTGCGAGGCGCCTCAGTGTTCGCTTGCAGAAAAGGCGGCACCTCTTCGTCGCCCCTGAAGTCCGAAAAATCTGTGCAGAATGACTATAAAACGATGAGCTGGAAAGCCGATAGCAGCTTAGACCGAAGATTAGTGGACCCGGGAGTGGTTCGCGCCCCCCTCCAAAGAAAAGGAACAACAAAACACACGAGGCCAACAACGCCCCCCCAAGCCCCAGCGCCTGGCGCTTGGTGTCCACCGGGCGCCGGTGCCACCAGGCCGGCGGCAGCCCTGCGAGCACCGCCCCCTCCAGAAGCTCCAGGAGCTCCGCCTGCGGAAGCCACCGGATGGCCCCGCGGCGCTGGTGTCGCGCAGCCCTGGGAGTTGGTTTACATTTGTCGGTCTTGGCCGCACCCTCCCGACATGTAACCTGACAGGGGTCCTGGAAGACCATTGTCGTAACTGGAGAAAATGGACTTAACCAATTGGAGCCAGTTCCATCGAGCCAGGACCACTCAAGCTAAGGGCTGTTCGAAGCGCAAAACATGCCTTGTTGCTTTTGAATCCCCCAACGTAGACGTCTTTGCGTAAGGGTGCCCTTCTGGGCTGGATTGAAGGGAACGCCGAAAGCCACCCAAATGGGCAACCAAACGGGGAATGCCCTTGATGGATGGATTTTTTTCAGGAGGCCAAAGAGGGATTCAATTTTCTCTAGAACCCCCTGTTCACGGTGAAAAGCCTCAATAGTCTTTTCTGAGTTTAGTATGGCTATCCACGGAAAATACTCCGTGACCAACATAGCATGGACACCTTCCTGGCACCTCAACTGCAACGAGGGCAAGAGCTGAAGAGGCGCCACCCTAGCCCAATACCACCCAACGACGACATTCCCAACTTGGCCGGACATGACGCATCTATGAATACCACCTGTGAACTGGTCGGCACTGTTTGCCTGCGGGTGTTCACCAAGGCTGAAGGAAATCTAGCGGCCCAAGGAGCCCCAAGGACAGCCGCTCCCACCCCTCTGAGATTCCTCAAATGAAAACTGCTCCCAGCTCCAAATAACTGCTCAAGCCAGGCCAAATCCATCATCAGCTCATCTACGCAGTAATCGTTGAGCAAGCCACGCCGCAAATAGAATCTTGGACTGCTTGTCCAGTGCTAAAGAATGGAAGGCCACCTTTGAGCATAGTGCAAAGCAGTAAGCAAATGGAGGCCACATGTCCCAGACTCCAACACACAGGCCCTCACAGCCTTTCGTTATCCACCCGGAAACCGCCAACACACCACCGGGCCACCAAAACAACACACAAAACACCACAAGCATTGCACTTCACGGAAAAAAAAGAAATGCACAGACCGGCCCCCTGACCTGACCTGCCCCTCTCAGCACCTCTCTGCATCTCTCAGCATTTCTCTGCATCTCTCAGCATCTCTCAGTCCTGCCTCCGAACTCTGCTGCAAAATGGGCAGTTTCCCACAGCCCTCACTGGCAGCTCGGGCAGCCAGCAGCTCCTCGCGCTGGTACACGGGACCTGGCCGCAACTTTCGCATCAGCCTGGTGGTGCGGTAGGTGCCATAGGTAGGGAATGAGAAATGGAATGACCAGAAAAACCATCCGACGGGTGGTTTCCTTTGAGAGGATCCCTGGGTTCATGCCCACATTCCCTACTGAGCAGCAAAAAATGATGTGGATGAGGACAAACTATGGTCACCAACCGGGCCATTGTGGCATTGACGCCTGGCGGTTTATTCAACAACCTTTGGCAAAAGCATGGAATCATGGACCTGCTTGAGAATGGTCCACTTCTGTCAGACTACTCAGTCTGAGTCAGTCCAAACTTTGATTTTCGGACGACTAAGCTGCTCGTGCCCGAAAACTGTTCGACCAATCTCCCTGGACCCCTGGCGATTCATATGGCCTATCTCGGGATCCGAGAAACTCACGCGCAGGACCGAAAGTCTCTGACAAACTGGCAGCGCCTTTGGACCTCACTTACCCCCTTGCAAACGTGTGAGTGGCAATCAAACCTGGTATTAAAATGGTCGACCCAGAACAATGTAAAGAATTAAGAAGGCGCCGCAACTATTTATGGCTGGGACTGTTCCTTGCTAGCCTTCACTTACCCAGGTTTTGATTGTGACTCATGTGTGTGTGTGTGTGTGTATATGCCACCTCCCCGTTAAATACCCCAAGATGGGCGGAAACTACGTCCGACAATTCTATTTGGTGGGGTTGACAATCCTCAACTGGAGAATGTCCTTTCGAGCTGATGCGGGTTCTTTGGTATAGCCCAGGGCGCTGGAAACTGGAAGGCACTCAACTTAGGAATGTTGCAAGTCCTGAATTTGTCTTTTCCATTTTAAAAAGGTCTGAAAGCTCATTGCCCCTCCCCACTTCTCCCCCGACCTGCAGCTTCACACTCGGCTTCGGTTTCGGCTTCACCTTCCAGGCGCATCAGGCTCACCTCGCCAGCCCGCAGCTGGGCGACCGCCAGCTCCAACTCATCCCCCAGCTGGACCTGCCGGCCGCGACTCGATAAGGGGAAAACATATCTGGGCCTCAAACTTGTTGTTTGCCATTAAAATGAAGACCGTGTCTCCAAAACGGTAGCCTTGCGTGAAGTCACAATTTGCCAAGAACATTCTGAACATATAAGGATGCCTGGGCACCACGTTGGCGAGATGAAGTCTACTTAAACAGGGTGTCTGATACATTCAGCCCAATGGGGGACCTGTTCAAACCGGTCCGCGCACGCCCCTCAAACCTCACCACAAACGGCGTTTCGCCCACACGGCCTCGAAGTCCAAGCCGTGCTTCAGCGGGAGCACGGCGCAGGGCAGCTGGCCTTCCAGCTGCAGCTCCAGTCGGTCCTGCCCCACGCCGTGGCCCGGGGCTCAGTGTGCCGAGGGAACGAATCACCATGCGGGGGGCGGAGCGGGCGGAGCACACGGCACTTGTTGAAAACTCCCCCAACCTGGGAAGACTCAGAAAAAACTCAGAAAAATATCAGCCTTGAACTCGATCCCCAACTTGAGTTGAGGCTGAGTCGGGAGCTGAGTTTTTTCAGACTTATGTCTTGTGGCTGATTTGAGCTTTTTAAGTTTGTTTAAGGGTTTGTGGTTCGTTCTTGTCTGACAGGGTTGGTTGGGGAGGACATCTGCAGGTTTTCACCAAGAAAACGCAAGCAACACTCAGGGAAAAAACAGCTATGAGAAACAACTCGAAAAGCAACTCACAAGTAACTCCGCTCCCGATTCAGCCTCAAAGTCAAGTGGGGGGATCGAGTTCAAGGCTGAGTCGGTTCTGTGTCGTTTTTGAGTCTTTTTCCTGTGTTGTCTTTGTGGAGTCTGTGTTATCACTTGAGTTGTTTTTTGTCCGCTGAAACCTCTCCTGCCTGAGCCCATCTGGTCTTGAAACAGCATCTCTGTGATCCGGTTCTGGGAATTGATCCCCGTAAAAATGTCACGCCCTCTGGCCGGTGCTGCGCGCCATGGACAACCCAAGACTCCAAGCCGCCTGAGAGATGTGCACGACGCGACCTTCCACCAGATCTCCGAGCTTGGGCATGGCTCGGAAAGGCTCGCAGGCCTAAGCAACACCCAGGGCCTTTCCGCAACATTGGGCTATGAGGCTATGAGCACCCTTACCGCAGGAAGCGGCGCTTTCACAGACCTCTTCAGCCAGAAAAACCAGTCAAGCCCTTCATGGAAAGGAAACAACGGCTGGGTTCGACAGTCTGTCCATGTATGCGATTGCGCCATCCTATGGCACAATCTGGCCCTTCAAAAGGCGCTTGATGCAAATGCAAGTCGTGTGCAGGCTTTTCCGCGCAAACCTCCTACCAGAACGCAGCTGCCAGGCAGGAAGCCTCAGTTTATTGTCTCAAACCTAAAATCGCCTCGATTTCCGCCCGGCAGTGCATGTGCCGAGTGCCGAGTCAAAACGTCACCGTTTGGGTCGAATGTTCCTTGCTTGGCTTTCCCTTTAGGGACATGCGGTGAAACTTAGATCTCAACCTCATGGATCCACCTCTTTCAGTTGCAGAGACTCAGAACTCACTGCCGTTCTCATAACCCCTGCCGGTCCTCTGGTAGGCCTCAAGGGCGTTGGAGGGCCTTCAGCTCACAAACTGCCGTGCTTGGACTTCTGCTGTTGAAAGAAGATAGACCCGTAATGTAAACCGTGGCCCAACCAGCACACAAGCAAACACAACGCCCCATCTGCGTTTGACAAAGCCTGCTGATTGACAAGAACCACGTAAAGCATCGCCATGATGCCCATGAATCCGGCAAACGCCAGGCTTTCAAGTCTGCATCCTGCACTCTCCAGGTGGCGCATTCTGTGCCAAGCGTCACGGTGAAGAACGCACTTGAACATTGCTGAAATCCATGCTCTTCACCCGGCCAATGCGCAGCCTCGCCCTTGTTTCCTCACCCGTTCTGACAAGTAATTCCATATGCATGCCATGGCAAGCAACGGAACACGGCCTCCGGCCAAATTCTGCCATGGAACAACTGCACTTGACGGCTCGCTGCTGGACATCCTGCGCGGCCTAGTCTCAAATCGAGCTGCAGCTGCCAAAGCCACCAGCTTGCGCCCAAAGGAGGGTGCAAACGAATGAAACTACGGCATGCAGCATGCCGTCTAGGTTCCGGCACCCCTATTGCGTTCGCAAGGCCAGAAATCAAGCTTAGATCTCCGGCTCTAAACGATCGCCCAAGAATGGAGAATCATCTGCAAGACCTTGCGAAACACAGTGTAGGGGGCTGGCATCCGCCAGCATAGTAAGGTTTAGAAGGAACTGGGCTTCATTGACAAACTCATCCTGCCCGCTGCAGTGTCCACAGACTCCACGCGCACCTGGACCTCTTGACCCACTGAGAGCTCGTCTTCCACAGACTCCACGAAGCCGTCGCGGATGTCTCCTCATGATTTGAGTGAACAATTCAAGCTCTATGTTAGGAGTCGGGGTCGCAGTCAGGGTTGCAAAGTCCAGGCGGGTCGCGGGGTCATGGAGATAGGAAATCTGAGGAGATATTTTTGTAAGGTCTGCAGGGTGGGCTGCGGACATAAGGCTGGATAGTTGTCACGGATTCCATGCAAGCACATTGGAACTGTAAGCAAACTCACTTCTCGCTGCGTCCAAGGTGAATGGCGAATCGGGAATGCCTGTTTCGAGCTTCGGGTTGTTACTTTTAACCACATTTCGCTGGCAGCAAAACCTTCTTTGCCCGTCTGTCTGCAGCGCAAACGTAAAAACAACACGTCAGCAACACTGCGCTTTGTGCAACTTTTCCTCCAGTGCAGCAGCACAAGAATTGCAATTCTATCCCTGGCGTGCCCCCTCCTCCCCTCGCCACCACCAAAAAACACACACACACACACACACACCCACGCACCCACGCACGCAAGCACGCAAGCACGCAAGCACACACGCACGCACGCACGCACGCATGCACGCAAGCACGCACGCACGCACGCACGCACGCACACCCACACACACACACAGACACACACATACAAACAACATGTCCATCTCCTGAAGATTTCCAGCAGACTGCTTGAGGGAAAGATGAAGTCTCCAAATCCCGGGGCAACTTCGTTTGATAGCCTTTGAACTCAGCTCACGTGGAACAGGCGGCAGATGAGCATCAAACGGTTGATCAGCTAAGTCTCTGATGTGAAGAAGTCCATCTGCTGAAGCGCCATCCTTGGTGATTGTCACCTCAGCGAGTTGCGTGCGTACGTGTGTGCGTGCCGGCACGCTCTCGCTTCCTCTTTGCATGGGCTTCTGCATGCCCGCAAGAGGGCAGAGTGCTACACGGCTGGCCGAAAGGGAACCTCCCGTACTTTTGCATCCCAAGAAGAAAAGACAATTTGTGCGAAGTTGCGGTCTGTCAGGCATTGCTCACACTGCCCGCTGAGAGTTGAATAGATGGCTGTTCTTCTGATGCAAGCATTGATCAAATCCATTCGTGCTATGCCCGCGACGTTCATCTTGTGCTTGTGATCCGACGGCTAGTGAACGCAGGCGCTTTGTCAAAGGAGGAGAAGCCGCGCGTGCAGGGGAACTACTGCCTTCAACAATCGAACGACCCTGATTTGGGCCTAAGGCTATCGACTTGTGCTTGAATCTGTCTTTGCCAACCACCTGCACCTCACCCATTTCCTACCCAAGTCACAAAGGCGCCGAAGGGCGCGATGGAGGCCACCTTGCCCTCCACAAAGGTGTCTGGGTCCATGCCCTCGAAAGCGCTGAAGTCCTTGGGCTGCCGCATGCCGCCGCCGCCGCCGCCGCCAAAGCCGCTCTCCACCATGGAGAGGGCCATCCTGGAGAAACTTGGACCAAGTTCTTCCGACGTTGCACCAAGCCCTTTACACCCGTTTCTGATGCGGCTGACTTGGAATTCGGGATGAAAGTCGTGGAGGTCTAGATCCCGGAGTTAGAGAGCCTAGGGCAAGATAGCGGATGGCTGCATCGTCAGCCTTGGAGGTTCCAAGAGACTGGAGCCACTAGCAACAAGCTCCACTGCTTCCGCAACTCTTACCTGCTTGGCAAGGGGAGTTGCTCAATCGATGTTGCGCGGGAGCTGCCGGCATGGCATCTTGAAATGGCCTGCCCGGGCCCACAATGAGACTTGCAACGAGCTCATCTTCGAAGCTAGGACTGAAATGGCCGGCTGTCCGAGACTGGAACGAAGGAGGAATATCCAAGCGATCACTCGAAACATGTCCTGACTGTTAAGCTGCTGCAGTATGGCTTGGTCAGCCCCCAAAGTTTGCGGGATTGCCTTGAGGGTGCCTGGATTTCAGGCAAAACACACAAGAGAACAAGAGGGGGGTCTGGGGGTCAAGCCCCAAGTAGGACAACCCAGCCCAAACAAAATCACGGACACCCTCCAAATCGCTCCACTGCCCGGCCACTTCCCCAGGGCCCCAAGCCCTGCTCTCCTGTTGGTATCGAGGTCCACGTTGTCGATGCGCACCTGCACCTCTTGACCCAGCGACAGCTCATCTTCGACGTTGTCTACAAAGCCCTCCTGGCCGCTTTGAAACGAATGAGGCAATGAGGCAAGAAGAAAAGCCAGCGGAATGCCTTCTCCTTAAGAACCACGTTCAGGAGCCGGTTTAGACATACCATAAATTACCATAATACAGTCTCAAGACACGGCTTAGTAGCAAAGGTCTATCAAAAGAACTTCTGCCTGGAGCCTCCTAAAGCAAAGCATGTGCTGGAGGCCAACCGGAATGACAAATATTCCATGTGTTGCTTCAGAATATGGGCGCAAACAGCTCAAAGGCGTCCTTGATCTTGGACAAGTGGAGCAGCCCGTCCGCAGAGGTGCCGTCCTCCAGTGTCACCGTCACGAAGGCCCCGAAGGGGGCGATGCGTGCGACCACGCCCTTCTGCCACTCATCCGGGTTGACGCTGGCGAAGGGGGCCATGTCCACCTGCGCCTTAGCCCAGGCGCTGGCAGTGCCCATGTGGGTGACTTGCTCGAATGCACATGAGCAAGGAAGTAGACTGCAAGTCTGCGTTTGCAGGGAAAACTGCCAGTCTTTGCGCAGGAAGGTGTCTGCCCCCTCAGCACAAAACTTCGGAATGCAAGCCGCTTTTTTCTGGCTTGCCCTGCCCCTCTAATGCCGCGGCACTGGTCGAAACCTCTCCCCCTCCTTCTGGCCCTCAATCATGGTGAGTCCAAACTTCCCCTCCTCCCTCTTGCCAGCGATCCACACATCCACGGTCTGACCCTCGGACAGGTGGTCATAGATGTTGTCCACTCTGCCCTCAATGATGCGAGAGATGTGCCTAAGCTCATGTCAAATGATGCACAACAAACAGGCAGACTTTGTCAGCAGACGTCCGCGATTGCATTGCACGAGTGACGCAAGCACAACTGGACACATCCGATCGGCAGTCACAAACATGGCCTTTGCAGTCTCATGCTGGCAATGCCGTGCTCCCCAGCCACAGGCACGCGGAGGTGTAGCCACAGTCTCGCATGCTAGGTTCGGAGCTCGTCTTTCGAGGAAGCACGAACAAAGGTCGGGAAAGTGCAGAGAAAGTCTTTGGAACTGGTGGAAGACTAGACATAAATTTATTCTTCCACGTGAGCCAGCAGCTGATTCATCTAGGCGTTTGAATTGCTTGGAGGGCCTTAGGCGAACGAGACGCTCCGGGAAATGTCATTCTGTTGGCCTTACTAGCCAAAGGTCTCTTGCAGATGCCGTACCTGATCTTCATTGATCTTCACTATTTTGCACTTACACGAGCTCGCTTGGCTTACTGCCTTTGAGGATGCTTCGATGTTGAAGAGAAACAGAAACAGACATATCGCTTGACCCCCGTCCCTTCCCTTCACCCAGGCTGCAGCAAGCCCTCCGACTCAGCGCCAATGTCCACGAAGGCGCCAAAGTCCAGAACGGAGCGGACGGTGCCCGTGTACCTGACCGATTTCCAAGCCACCTCCCAGTGACAAACACATCAACAGAACAAGACCCATCCGTCACATGCAATTGCCTTGACTGACTTGAACCTGTTCCGTCCTGGCCCTCTTCGTGGTTCCTAAACACGGCCTCAAACTTTGGGGATGCACATTGTTGTACCACATTGGGGGTGAACATTGCTGCGACGAGCTTGAGCAATGTTCGCAGCGTGCCAAAGCCAATCAATCACATATGTGATGCCACTGGCTGCCTGTGCACCCACCGAAAATTCAAGAACAGACTCGCTGTAGCAAATAAAGGCGAAGAGTGCAAACACATGTTGCTTCTGCTAGGGAGGTCCACTGGCCAAAGTTCTGTTGGCCAAGCTGAGGCACAGGAAGCTACAGAACAAGTACGGGCCAGCTTGTCAAAGCCAAACCAAGGCGCTTTTGGCCAACTTCCAGCTTCTCCCAGGGGATCGGCGGATACTTCATGTCCTTCGGCTGCACATCAGACTGCTCGGGGCCGCCATCCGGATCCTCCCACTTCACCGCAAAGGTGCCGTCCTCGTTGGCCTTGATCACTTCTGCAGGGTACCAGTAGCTGTCATCGGGGAAAACCGCCTCAATCGCCTCGCCCACCTTGTAGTCCTTGAAGATGACAATCTTCCTCAGCCAAGGTGCCACAGCGGGGGGGGGGGCACGGCCTCTGCGACAAGCAAGCTTCAACCTTGAAATAGTTTAAATAAAGGAACCATTGTATTCGCAACATCGTGCAGTGGGCGGGTACTGGCCCACACGGCCCCAAAGCATTCAGCTTGGCATAGAAAGCATGATGCCAAGCGTCTTGATAGCGTCCGCAGCCACATTGTGGCTCTCAGGTCCGCCCTCTGGATCTTCCCATTTTACGCTGAAGGTCCCATCCTCATTGATGGTGTCGATCGCCCCTGGGTACCATTGATCATCATCGGGGCAAATGGCGCTCACAGCATCCTTAGCTTCAAGCTACGCTGGGTCACCAGCACTTTCCACATTGAGCCTAGCTTCTCGTGACCCATCGTATAACCCGCAACCTGATCACAAATAGCCTTGAAAACGCCAAGCTGAGCTGGAAAGGACCTAGCAAAAGCCAAGTTGTGTGTCAGCCTGCAGACTAGCAAATAGTATCGAGCCTTCTTTTCAGACTCTCTCCAAACCGGTGTGAATTATAAAGATGAATATGTTCGGCATGCTTGCTCATGTAGCACGGATGGAACAAGAACCAACCGTACTGCACTACCACAAAAGCCGACTGCACTATTACAACAGCATTCTTATTTCACCACTCAGTTAAAGGCTGTACAAGTTGCACAGACTTAGTGTCGTGGGAGCCAACACGCCAGCCGTCTAAGCGGCAACGGGCAAGTAAAAAGCCCTGACGTCTGCACCAAAGATGGGGTACAATTTGCAAAAAGCGGCATCAGCACATACAGCAGGCCCAAAAAAGGTCCCTAACCAACACTGCCTCTCCAATGGGTATCCCATGGGTACCTAGGCCTTTCATCCAAGGATCTCCCACCGCCAGCTTGCCGATGTCTGCTTCTCCGCCCCTGGACCTGCGAGCCACGGCAGGTTGGGCGCGGGGCACGGAGAGCTGCACAAAAGCGGGGGCATAGAGGAGTGCCAACACCTGGGAGCGCAGCAGGAAATTGCGGCAAGGGGGGAGCCTTCCCTGGAAGGGCAATGAAGCCCCGGAAATGAAGCTAAACAAACCCCCCCCGCTCCCACCCCCCCACCCCCACAAATTGAGGATTCGAACTTTGGGGAGGCCAGGAGAGACCTCCCTCTGGCGCCATTTTTGCCTGCACGGGCAACCCGATCTGATAGACAAGGCGCCACCAGCAACGGCAATGGCCGCCGGACACTTCGAAAAGTCTTTGCCATGGCAATCAAAAAGGCCTTCCGACGTGTCCACTGCTAGCCTCAAAATTTCTGCGGCAACACAGGCACTCAAAGTTCCAAGACCGGGCTTGGCCGCGAAACATGCACGTGCGGCTCAGTCATGACGTTGGTGGCCAGCTCTTACAGGACCTGGGTGGCTGGAACTCGCCGAGTACGCTGAGTTGGGTTGCCTCCTCCCCCTGTGAGCAGAAGGCCCAAATGTTTGCAGCATCAAGGGAAAACCAGGTGCTTCCAAAGGTCTGAGGGGCATCCGGTCACCTCAAAGACCGGCCATGTAGTGCGAAGGAAGGCATGCAACCACTTTGGGCTCATGGTAGCTCCTGGGCGAGTAACAAGGAGGCGATGGATTCCGCTCGCAGCCCACTTTGCGCTTTTTTTCCGTTCCACTCCTCAATGGCTGCGCCCTTCTTCTTGGGCGAGCACACAACTCGGCACCACTGTCACAGAAAGGGCCCACTCCCTTGTTCAAGTTCCGGGTTGAAACTAGGGACGCATCAAGCCTACGCCTATGAGCGGCTTTGAATGTCCAAATGCGACGTCGTGCCTTGCTGCCATCTTCAGCCCACCAACTTTGGGCGGTCTGGAACAGCGGAATTGAAAACTCCGCCAGGAAACTCCGTGCTGGGCCGAGCCACCTGCCTCGGCAACTTCGGGTGGGCCCAGGCAGCCAGCTACCCGCGCAGTCGAACGCGAAGCCGTTAGCTGGAGCCCAGGTCGCGCTGTCATTTAAGCCCTTTCTGAATTTCTGGGGTCAAAACATATTCGATCACATCGGAGGCTTCATTGACAAGCTCATCCTGCCAGCCGCCGCGTCAACCGACTCCACCCGCACCTTGACCTCCTGGCCCACTGAGAGCTCGTCCTCTATGGACTCCACAAAGCCGTCACGGATGTCTCCTCAATTGCCACGCTCAACAACTCCTTCTGTTCACGGGCATGGTTCCCTTTCTAGAAACATCTGCAATGGTGGGCTAAACTTCCCATGAAGAGAGCAAGTAATCTCGGGGTGAGACCTTTCTTGGCATAGGTGAACTTTCGAACAATCCGGACTGGCCGTGGCGCAAACTCAAACGCTGACAAAGGGGCCAGGAACGCAAAGCAAGGCCAAACAGAAGCAACTAAGACAGCCAGGTCGCTAATGTGAAGAAGTCCATCTGCCGAATTGCCATCCTTTGTGAGTGTCACCTTGGATGGCAAAACACGCAGCAAACATTGACAGCAGCCAGCGATGCCAAAACCGGTGACTTCCCAAGAACTGTCCAAAGGCATGCTTTCAGATTGCTGGTGTGCGCAAATTGGAGGTGGCAAGGAGGGGAAAGGATGCGCCTGGAAAATAAAAACTCGGCGAGTTCAGGAAGGCCTGTTGACCCACAATGACCTAGGTGATTGGTTCGGGGCCTGTGGAACCTTGGCAGATGCACGAATGCCGTGCTTTGATGTGGGTAGCGTTCGCTACACGTCGAGCAGCTTGCTTTACAGACATTCCCTTGCAGCACTTGGTGGCAAGTAAGGCAAGACTTTCCCGAATACAACGAAACAAGCAAACAAAAAGTCCAACAAACTTACCAAACTAACGAACAAACAAGCAAACAAAATAGCAAGCAGGCAAGAAAGCAAGCAAGCAAGCAAGCCAGCCAGCCAAACAAGCTAAGCGAGCCAAGCGAGCCGAGCGAGCCAAGCAAGCCAAGCAAGGCAAGCCAGCCAGCCGGCCAGCCGAGCAGGCACCACAGAAATCAGAAACAATGCCGAAAACATACAAAGTAAAATGAGAACAATCAAATCGATCAACCAATCCAATCTACCAGCCAACCAACCAACCAACCAACCAACCAACCAACCAACCAACCAACAAATCTAACCTAATCGAATCCAATCCAATCCAATCCAATCCATCAACCAACCAACCCACCCACCCACCAACCAAACCAACCCATCCATCAAATCAATCAACCAAATCAACCAAATCAATCAAACCAATCAACCAAATCAACCAATCAATCAATCAATCCGATCGATCGATCGACCGATCAATCAATCAATGAATCAATCAATCAGTCAACCAATAAACCAACCAACCAATAAACCAACCAATCAATGAATCGATCAACCAATCAACCAATCAACTTAAACAAACTAAACTATCACTCACTCACTCACTCACTCACTCAATCAATCAATCAACCCATCCAATCAATAAATCATTCATTCAATCAATCAATCCATGCATCCATCCATCCGTCCATCCATCAATCAATGAATTAATCAATGAATCCATCAATCCAACCAATAAACTCAAATCAATCAAGACAATCCATCGATCAATCAACAAATCAAACAGCAGATCAAAAAACCAACAACCAGACGAACAAACAAACAAATAAACAAACAAACAATCAATCAAGCAAGCAAGCAAGCAAAAAAACAAACAAACACACAAACAAACAAACAAACTAACTAACTAACTAAATAAAAATGGATAAACAAAAAAAATAAGTAAACAAATAAGTAAACAAAGAAATACATAAATAAACAAGTAACACACAAACTAACAAACAAGCTAGCAGACAAAAACAAACAAACAAACAAACAAACAAACTAACAAACAAGCAACAAAACAACCAAACCATCAAGCAAGGAAGCAAACAAACAAACAAACAAACAAACAAACAAGCACACACGCTCAGACCGACCCACCCACCCGCCCGCCCGCCCACCCACCCGCCCGCCCACCCACTCACCCACCCCCCACCCACCCACCCCCACCCACCCCACCAACGCCCTTGAGAACTCCACTTTTTGTGGGCTTTGAAACTGTTTAGCAAGAGGATGGGTCCGCAATGCGGCGAGGCAATGATGAAAGGCAAGTCGTCAAATCTGCGAGGCTGCTTGTTGCTTCCTTTGCAACTTTGAGGGGCATCGGCGTGCGTGCGTTCGTGCGTATGTGTGTGTGTGTGTGATATGCGTGCATGCGTGCGTGCGTGGGCGGACGGGTGGGCACATTTGCTTCCAATTGAATGCAAGGTAGTGACCGCTCGTGACAGCTTCGGGCTAGGACCGCCGTCTTGCCTGCTGTGTACTTGTGCGTGTGTAGGTGTATGTGTGTGCGTGTGTGTGTGGGGGTGTGCACGGGTGTGTGTGTGTGTGTGCGTGCGATGTGTGTGATGTGTGTGATGTGTGTGATGTGTGTGATGTGTGTGTGATGTGTGTGATGTGTGTGATGTGTGTGTGATGTGTGTGATGTGTGTGATGTGATGTGTGTGATGTGTGTGATGTGATGTGTGTGATGTGTGTGTGATATTTGTGTGATGTGTGTGATATTTGTGTGATGTGTGTGATGTGTGTGCGATGTGTGTGTGTGATGTGTGATGTGTGTGATGTGTATGATGTGTGTGATGTGTGTGTGATGTGTGTGATGTGTGTGATGTGATGTGTGTGATGTGTGTGTGATATTTGTGTGATGTGTGTGATACTTGTGTGATGTGTGTGATGTGTGTGTGCGATGTGTGTGTGTGATGTGTGATGTGTGTGATGTGTATGATGTGTGTGATGTGTGTGTGAGGTGTGTGTGATGTGTGTGATGTGTGTGATGTGTGTGATGTGTGTGATGTATGTGATGTTTGTGATGTATGTGATGTGTGTGACATTTGTGTGATGTGTGTGATGTTTGTGTGATGTGTGTGATGTGTGTGATGTGTGTGCGATGTGTGTGTGTGATGTGTGATGTGTCTGATGTGTGTGATGTGTGTGTGATGTGTGTGATGTGATGTGATGTGTGTGTGTGATGTGTGTGTGTGTGATGTGTGTGTGTGTGCGTTGTGTGTGTGATATGTGCGTGTGTGTGTGATGTGTGTGTGTGTGTGATGTGTGTGTGATGTGTGTGTGATGTGTGTGTGTGGTGTGTGTGTGTGATGTGTGTGTGTGATGTGTGTGTGATGTGTGGGTGTGTGGTGTGTGTGTGTGATGTGTGTGATGTGTGTGATGTGCGCGATGTGTGCGATGTGTGCGATGTGTGTGATGTGTGTGTGATGTGTGTGTGATGTGTGTGTGATGTGTGTGTTGTGTGTGATGTGTGTGTGATGTTTGTGTGATGCGATGTGTGTGATGTGTGTCTGATGTGTGTGATGTGTGTGTGTGTGTGTCATGTGTGTGATGTGATGTGTGTGTGTGTGATGTGTGTGTGTGTGATGTGTGTGTGTGTGATGTGTGTGTGTGTGCGTTGTGTGTGTGATATGTGCGTGTGTGTGTGATATGTGCGTGTGTGTGTGATGTGTGTGTGATGTGTGGGTGATGTGTGTGATGTGTGTGATGTGTGTGATGTGTGTGATGTGTGTGATGTGTGTGTGTGTGTGATGTGTGTGTTGTGTGTGATGTGTGTGTGTGATGTGTGTGATGTGATGTGTGTGATGTGTGTGATGTGTGTGATGTGTGTGATGTGTGTGATGTGTGTCTGATGTGTGTGATGTGATGTGATGTGCGTGATGTGTGTGCGTTTGTGTGTGATGTGATGTGTGTGTGATGTGTGTGTGATGTGTGTGATGTGTGTGATGTGTGTGATGTGTGTGATGTGTGTGATGTGTGTGTGATGTGAGTGTGATGTGAGTGTGATGTGATGTGATGTGTGTGTGTGTGTGCGTTTGTGTGTGCGTGTGTGTGTGTGCGTGTGTGTGCGTGCGTGCGTGCGTGCATGTGTGTGCGTGCGTGCGTGCGTGCGCGTGCACGTGCGCGTGTGCGTGTGCGTGTGCGTGTGTGTGTGTGTGTGTGTGTGCATGCGTGCGTGTGTGTGTGTGTGTGTGCGTGTGTGTGTGTGTGGGGGTGTGCGCGGGTGTGTGTGTGTGTGTGTGTGATGTGTGTGTGCGTGTGTGTGTGTGCGCGCGCGGGTGTGTGTGTGTGTGTGTCTGTGTGTGTGCGTGTGTGTGTGTGCGGAGTGTGCGCGGGTGTGTGGGGGTGTGATGTGTGTGATGTGCGATGTGTGCGATGTGTGTGATGTGTGTGATGTGTGTGATGTGTGTGATGTGTGTGATGTGTGTGTGTGTGATGTGTGTGATGTGTGTGATGTGTGTGTGTGTGTGTGATGTGTGTGATGTGTGTGATGTGTGTGATGTGTGTGATGTGTGTGATGTGTGTGATATGTGTGATGTGTGTGATGTGTGTGTGTGATATGTGTGTGATGTGTATGATGTGTGTGATGTGTGTGATGTGTGTGCGATGTGTGTGTGTGATGTGTGATGTGTATGCGATGTGTGTGATGTGTGATGTGTGATGTGTATGCGATGTGTGTGATGTGTGTGATATGTGTGTGTGTGATGTGTGTGTGTGATGTGTGTGATGTGTGTGATGTGTGTGATGTGTGTGATGTGTGTGTGTGATGTGTGTGTGAGGTGTGTGTGATGTGTGTGTGTGTGTGTGATGTGTGTGTGTGTATGATGTGTGTGTGTGATGTGTGTGATGTGTGTGTGATGTGTGTGATGTGTGTGATGTGTGTCATGTGTAATGTGTGAGTGTGTGTTGTGTGTGATGTGTATGATGTGTCTGATGTGTGTGATGTGATGTGTGTGATGTGTGTGATGTGATGTGATGTGATGTGATGTGATGTGATGTGTTGTGTTGTGTTGTGTTGTGTTATGTTATGTTATGTATGTGTACGTGTGTACGTATGTGTGTATATGTACGCGCGTGTGCGTGTACGCGTGTACGCGTGTACGCGTGTACGCGTGTACGCATGTACGCGTGTACGCGTGTACGCGGGTACGCGTGTACGCGGGTACGCGTGTGGGAGGGTGTCTGTGTGCGATTGTTGGCTGGTTGGTTGGTTGTTGGTGACACAAAAGCTTTCAATTTGATCATGCCGAAAATACTCGACCCGCCACGAAAAACATTGAGAATCTAAAGCAGATTTTTCCTGATCCAAAAGAGCTTTCTGTGCCAGCGTGTCGCCCCTTACAACACAAGTCCGTCTCCCCAGGTTGCGCTCTACGATTGGTCAAGCATAAAAGCCCTAAAGCGAGCGCTCCCGGTCCTGAAGGCTGGACCAAAGAACTGGTACAGCACTTGATAGTGAATGAACAAAAAGGTCGGGTCGGATTGGTGGGTCTTGACGCCAACACAAATACAAATATGTTTGTGCGCATGTGGGCATATAAGTACGCCCGCAAGCATGGCAGTTTGAACACATGTGCGCATGTTCAGCAGTTCCACAACTTGTCCATGTCCGCTTGGCTGGGGACGGATAGAACGGAGGCCGAAGAAGTGTAACAACTGGGAGAGACGAGACATGGACGCCAAGGAAAAAGAGGAACTAAAGGCAACTAAAGGCAAAGAACAAGTCGAGCTCGTATGTTCACAAGTCACTCAGTCAGCGAAAAGTTAACGCACGCGGATGGCGAGCCGCGAAGGCGCCGAAGGGGGCGAGGCTGGCCACGGCGCCGTCCACCCAACTCTCCGGGTCGATGCCTTCGAAGGCGCTGAAGTCCTGGGGCTTCCGATACCCGCCACCGGCGGCGGCCTCCACCATGGAGAGGGCCATCCTGGCGTCCGAAGCGGCAAGTCTGAGACACGGTTGGAAGTTTTAGGGCGTAGGGTTTGGGAGTTATAGGGTTCTGATGGAATTGAGATCAATTCAATTGAGTACTTGAGTGGTTTCCCTTACAGGGGAACAAGGCGCTTGTGCACTTGAGGGGATGTATGCATTTGTCAGCGAGCATGAACACTCAAGAGTACGCTTTGCATTTGTGGGGAAGGCCCCATGACTCCCCCCAAATAATGGGACCCTCATCTGAAACACTTCAAGCATGCCTCCTTGACCTCAACCACCGCGTAATACACCTTGCTATCCTCTTATATTCCCCCTCCTTGGGAGATGCTTCTTGTGTTTGTGCTAGGCTAACTGCATCAAACTGTGTTGTAAGCAACGTGCAGGCAACAATGTAATTTCTATTATCCAAGAGATGGCCACCTGGCTCTTCACAGAAGCTGATCGTGTAACACTGATAAGGAGATACAAACCAGCACTATGGTTGGATCATGCTGGGTCCTGATCATTTTTCCATATGCTGTTTGGGTCACTTATAACCAAGTAGGCACACAGTTTCTACAACACAGGCAGGCCCCCTTAGACCTTTACGGAAGCCCCTTGGCCGGGCCAGCAACATGCCTGGCTACCCCCTCCCCACTCCTCTTGGCGTGGAGGTCTACAGACTCGATGCGCACTTTCACCTCTTGACCCTCATGCAGCTCATCCTCAACATTCTCCACGAAGCCTTCCTCCCAGGGATTC